GTAGCTTAGCTGAATCTGATGGCTCGACTCATTCAATCCGTAATCATCGAGTACTAACTTTGCCAGTTCGTCGTGTGTTGTTTTCTCATCTGCATGCAGAACAATACATCCTCTACTGTCGGGTGTGAATACATATCTGTTTTTCTTAATCCAGTTACCTGAAACAATGATTACTGGATCCATAAGAAATTAGAGAAAGAGAAGAAGGTGAAGAACAGATAGCGGCGTCTGTAACATAAACCCTAATTTCGTTGTTGTGGTTAGTAATGACATGGAAAATAAAAGCTGACATGGATGATGACATGGAAAATCAGTTATTCAGCCACCAAACAAACATTTAAGTCAGCCACAATAAGTCAGCCACTTAATACACCGTAAGTCAGTCAAAAAGTGAATACTATTTTAGTAATTAACTTTTTGTTAACAATCAGCCATAACAGAGATGAAACGCAAGAAGTCAGCTGTATCGTTAAATAAACCAGCTGGCAAATGAATGCTATTCTAGTAATTAATCTTTCGCTAAAAAGTCAGCCGTAAATCAGCTGAGTTTACTGTTACTCCACTTTATGACGGCTGATTAAATATAACTCAGCTGTAAAAACATCTCACAACTCGGCCGGTCGACGATTAATTAACCAGCCGCGATAGTTAACTAAGCCGTATGGTAACTAGAACTCAGTCGGATTTTCCAGGAACCAGCCTAAGGATGTATAAGTCAGTCGTAATATCTGACCGTAACTCAGCCGTTATCACATAAACCAGCCAGATATTTTTAAGTCAGCCATAACGATCGACTGAGTTATGTTCATAACTCAGCTTATTTCTCATAAGTCAGCTAGGTTAGTTAAGTCAGCCGCAACGCACCTATATCTCGGCCGTAACGTAGTTCGTATCGTATTGCGGCTGACTTTTATGCCGCATTCTTACGTGGACCCAAACTTTTTGCTTACGTGGCATAAAAAAGTAATGGCATTCTTGTAAATATGTTTTTTCTCACAACGTGAAAAAAGGACACGCTGGGTATTAAAAAAAAGATAGTAATAAAAAAAAAGTTTTGTATGGTTGTGATAATAATTAATAAAATTCATATTAGTTTGAGTTAACTTCCCTAAATCAAACTAGGAAAAGTATAAAAAAAAAGATAAAGGAAAAAGATATTGCCGCTGGTTATAAAGTGCCCAAATATTTAGGTCTGCTTCTCTCATCAAAGGCCTTTTTCATTTTATTAAATTTTCTCTACGCTCCTCTCCCAAAAAAAAAAAAAAAACTAGGGTTTTAAAGGGTTTCAGTCTTATCCTCCGTTTCCTCCGCCAGAAGATGAGCAACGACAAGGACAACAACTTCAACATGTCCGGTCTCACCTCCGGTATGTATTGTCCTCCAACAACACCTGCTTCTATTTGTTTTCTTCTAGATTTATTCGAATAATCATTCTCTTTTTTTTTGTGTAGCTCTTAACGAGGATGATCGTGCTGGGCTTGTTAATGCTCTTAAGGTCAGTTTTACTTATATGTTTTGTCAGTTGGTGTAGCGAGAGACTGCTTACTTTCAAGATATTGTGTTTTTTTTTTAATTATAGCAATGGACTTTAGTTTGAATGTTGCTGATTTTAATGTTACTAAAATGATTTAAAAGCAACAGATGGGATTTTTCAGCGTCTTGATTTCATTGTTATTCTTTCTGTGTGCTGTGCTTTTTTTGATTTTTGTATGATTTTGCAGGACAAGTTGCAGAATTTGGCTGGACAACACTCTGATGTTCTTGAGAACTTGACTCCCACTGTCAGGAAGCGAGTTGAGGTTCTAAGAGAGATTCAGGTGAGTGATACTTCCAGCTGGATAGATGATTATAGATCTTGGATTTTGCATTTGGTTTGAATTAATTTGGCTCTGATGATAGTCCCAAATATTATCTGATTCCTTTTTTTCTAAATCTACAATGCAGAACCAACATAATGAAATTGAAGCCAAGTTTTTCGAGGAGAGGGCAGCGCTAGAAGCCAAATATCAAAAGTTGTATCAGCCTTTTTATACCAAGGTAAAGATATGATCTGTGATCACCTGATACCTACTTAGATCAATAGTGTTCTTTACTTCTTTTCCTTTCCTCACGTGAATGATATTTTGATGGTTTTCAGCTTTCCTAACTTGTTATTATAAACTGATATTGATGGTTCTGCTTTTCCAACGTGATACAGAGATATGAGATTGTGAACGGTGTGGTTGAAGTTGAAGGTGCACCTGAAGAAGTAAAAACAGAACAGGGAGAAGATAAAGCTGCTGAAGGTGTGTTAAACAATTACTTACACTAGATTCTGGTTATGTTTTTAAGCTTCCAATGATGGTGAAACATGTTTGATGAACATCTGTTTTTCTGCAGAGAAAGGAGTACCAGATTTCTGGCTTATTGCACTGAAGAACAATGAAATAACTGCTGAGGAGGTTCGTTATACTTTTTCCTTTTGTTTTATGAAAAGACCATTCCCTTTATCTTGATGTTTTTTTTTGGTTCCCCATAATTCTATTCTAGATAACTGAGAGAGATGAAGGTGCTCTTAAGTATCTTAAGGATATCAAGTGGAACAGGGTTGAAGAGCCAAAAGGGTTCAAGCTTGAGTTTTTCTTTAATGAGAACCCTTACTTCAAGAACACTGTCTTGACCAAGACATATCACATGATTGATGAAGATGAGCCTATCCTCGAGAAGGCCATCGGGTATGATCTTTTGCCCTTTATCATGTTTTTGATGTTTTTTCGTGCTTATTGATCGTTGATTATTACTCAGGACGGAGATTGAATGGTATCCTGGAAAATGTTTGACTCAAAAGATCCTTAAAAAGAAGCCAAAGAAGGGATCCAAAAACACAAAACCGATCACTAAGACTGAGGACTGTGAGAGTTTCTTCAACTTCTTCAATCCACCTCAAGTTCCTGAGGACGACAATGATCTTGATGATGAATTGGTATGACCATCCCCGAAAACAGTTTTTTTCCTTTGATTTAGTGTTAACTGTTAACCTGATAATTTATTATTGCACAGGCTGAAGAACTCCAGGCCAAAATGGAGCATGATTATGATATCGGGTTTGTACCTTTGTATTCAGTATTCAGCTCTCATTGTTTTTTAGTTCAGGTCTAGGATCTGAAAGTGTCCAATGTTCATCCTGTAGATCAACCATTAAAGAGAAAATCATATCGCATGCTGTGTCATGGTTTACTGGTGAAGCTGTTGACGTAGATGACCTTGAGATGGAAGACGATGATGAGATTGATGAAGATGATGATGAGGAGGACAAGGAAGATGATGATGAGGAGGACGAGGATGATGATGATGATGATGATGATGATGATGAAGAAGAAGAAGAAGAAGAGCAAGGAAAGAAGAGCAGAAAGAAGGTACTACTATGTGGTTAAAACGGTCTTACTTTCTGTTTCGTTTATATGAAACAAAACCTCGTAAACTGATTTTTGGTTGTTTCTCTTTGTTCTGTTGCAGTCATCAGCTGGGCATAAGGTATAACAATCACTCAATATAGACTTATGACTCTCTTTATTGTTGATTAAGATGAGACTCTTTTCTCTGTGAACAGAAGTCTGGAAGAAGTCAGCTTGCGGAAGGTCAACAAGGTGAGAGGCCACCGGAGTGTAAGCAGCAGTGAGTAAACTTCTTCTCAGGTGAAGAAGATTGGCTTATTTATTTATGAAAATAAAGAAGAGTCAGGTCTTTGTTTTTCTTAATTTGCAGTGTCATGGTCCTATTATTATATCAAGTTTTGGGTGGTGGTTTGCTTCAAATTATTTGCTTTGTGTCTGATTTTTCATTTGCAATGTGTTCTCTCATGAACTGGTTTGTGGAATATAATTTTGTCGTTTTTGTTCAGTTTATATATTCTTATCTTTTAAGTTTGAAGGGAAAAGTGTAACTTCTGTGTCCATCTAACAACTCAGGATCCAGAACTACGAACATCGATTGAATGTTTTACAAAAGAATTTCAAAAATATTTCTAATTTGTAAAATTTAGAAAGAACACAACAAAACTTGTGTATCCCTTTGTAAAACACAGGGTAGAAGAATGTTTTGTTTTGAGGAAGAAAAAAAGACGCGTTGACTTAAACAGAAGATTTTTTCCTTTTCTCGAGGGAAATATTTTATTTATAAAATTTAAAGATTTAAAACAGAAGAAGAGTTCAAAGACTTTAAAACAAGTCGTGGTTGAAAAATTTTGGAGGAGACAAGAATGAAGAAGTTCCTTTCTACAACGTTAACTAGGTTGAGCAAAAGCCTTGAGATTTTTTTTTGGTGGGAAAATGGGAGAAAAACTCCCAAGTTTATTCAACTAAAAAACAACCATACATCAGCTTACAAGAACTTGTCGTGACCGAAGGGATCCGATAGTGTCCTCTTGCAGGAAAACATCAACCTCAATTGGTACTTCCACAAAGTTATGAAACCCAAATGGAAGAGAAAATGCAAGGGCAGCCAAACCATCTGCTAAACGATTTGCCTCCCTATACACATGAACAATATGGACTTCCCAGTCCTTTGTAAGTAAGCCATGGCACATAAGTACTAGAAACGACAGAGGGTGAGCGTCTCCAATCCCTTTCGTAAGAAACTCCACAACCTCGTTTGAATCTACTTCAAACTCAAAACGTCTAATCCCTTTCTCCCACGCCATCACAAGACCATAATACACTCCTCATAGTTCTGCCAGTATTGCACCACATCGACCTATATTCAGCGCAAAGCCTTGAGATTACAATGCCTACGCCTGTACCACCTCCAAGTATTTCACTCCAGCTCTCTCTCATCTATCTTTTGCTTTATTAAGCTCTGAATCTTTGTAATATATATAATCATGAAATATTGACCAAAAATATATATATATATATATATATATATATATATATATATATATATATTCATGAAAATTGATGTTTTTGTTACTTTTAATGTGTTGCAGAGAATAAAGGGAGTTCATGGCCGTTATGGTTATTTCTTGGCGGGGTTACCTACGGTCTCGAGGAGTCGGTTCAGGACCATACAGCAAGGAATGGTCTGTTATTTTCATCATGGAATAACCTATTGTATATGTTTATACATGTTTTCTTTCCAGTATATATATAAAATTGTGTTGAATTTTTAATTAGTCCAAGGCACATCTGGAATCAAGACAACAATGCTTGGAAATGGAGCCAAGAAAGCTAAATACAGTTGAAAATGTGGATATGTTGGGATTCCAACGGGTTGTATGCAAAGGCGTTTACGATAAACAAAGATCGATCTATGTGGGTCCAAAGCCTAGATCCATGGCTCCACGGTCTGAAAATGGCTTCTATGTCATTACACCTCTCTTGCCAATCCCTAATGAACCAAATAGGTGAGTAAGCACTTTTATATCTCTCATGAGCAAACCAAATTAAAATCTTGATGTGAATTGTTGCTTGTATTTTCACGTGGTGTTTATTTATGTTTTTGGATTCAATGTTAGGGGTTTTTGCCAAAACTAACCTACAACTTGGTTTTAACCCCAATATTAGACCCAAACTTGAATCAAATGCAAATCTAACCTAAAAAGGGTATGAAATTACAGTATAGTCCTTTGTGACCAAACAAAAAAACAGAAGACATTTTTACGAATTTAGCCCCTGTAAGTTGTCTGAGTCAGACTAAGCTAGTTTTCAGTCGTCTGGACGACTGAAATATTAGTTGTCTGGACGACTGAATCTTAAAAATAATTTATAAATTTTGTAAAAAATATTTTGATGAGTGAAAAATTAAAAACTTGTAATTATAAACATTTTAAAGTGATATAAATTAAGAAATGATAAAATTGATTTATTTTCAGCATAGATGAGTGGAAGTAGTGAA